TATATCCCCCCTTGCTTTTTTTTTTCTTAATTTGAGGCCTCGTTTTTCATTCTTCATGGTATATCACATTTCTTCATGTTTCTTTCCTGGTTTTTGATTGTTTTTCATATTTCTTGCTTATTTAGTCTGGATTCACTACTTCATCTTCAGGTCCTGTTATTCTACCGTATACTTCATCTATTCTACTAATAAAGATATCATTTGATTATTTTTTTTAGTTGAGCTATTGGGATTTTCAATTCTATCTTTGTTACAGCTTGAGTTTCCTTTGGTCTCTCTACTTAATTACTGAATATCATTCCCAAGTCCTATATGTCTCCTCATTTCCATGTAGTTTTTACTTGTGGTTTCTTGAGCTTTTTATTATCCTTAAGCTCTTTCTCCTTAGTTTCACTGAGCAGTTTCTTTGTTTTTTTTCTGAAAGTGCTATGAATTATTTGATGATGATTATGATAGTTTTTTTTATATTGTATCCTGGGATTTATCAAGGTTACCCTCAACGACAAATATTTCTATAGTACTGGTAGTTTTGAAGAGAAGAAACCGACTTGATTTCTCATCTCATCTCACTGGTATTTTTTGATGAAATCTGGACTTGTGGATTTCTTCTAAGTCTGATATGGGCAGAGAAGTATGAGACTCTAGAAAGGGTATGGAGGCAGGTTGAGCCTAAAGTTTGGAAACTGTCTGGGAGTAATGAAGTCTGGTAGACATAAAGTATTGTCCTAGAGAAAAGGATGCACCTCCTAGTGCAAGATAGGAATATGAGGTTGGAACTTGCTGAGTGGGGAGATTAGATACAGCACAGGAGGAACCTGTGGGAGGTAGAGACATGGAATGTGAGAGTGGGGTTAAATCTGCAGTGTTGGAGGAAGGGTGTGGATAGGGAGGGTCATGGAGACTCATTGGGATATAACTCAGAGAAGGATATCAGTCAGCTGGAGGTACATAATTGGATGTGATTAACATGAGGCCAGAACCTCTGAAGTAAAAGCTTTATTTTGCAAGAACAATGGATGCTGGCCATTTGGAGCTGAATAATAGCTTTGATTAAGAAGAAGCCAGGGTCACTGAGGTAAAATCTTCTTGGAAGTGTTTCCACAGAATCAGAACATGCAAGCTTTGTTGCAGAGACTCCCAAGGTTGACCATTGTGCTGGCAGCAAACTTGGTCATGTGTAAGACCGAGGTGGTAATGTTTTTGAGGGAATGAAGGTATCACGGAGACAAGAGAAGCCAAGAGAGGCCATTGATAAGGTGCAGGTTGTGTAGCAGTGGAAGAAGAGGAATGAAGATGTCATGAAAGGAAATTGAGAATTTAAACCATGAAAAGAGCCCAAGAAAGGCTTTTTGTGCACAACCATTGGTTTATATGAAAGAAATGAATAATTTCAGATACTATTAGTTGATGGAAAACAAGTATTGAATTGCATAGTTAATTCCAGAATAAAGTCAATACTAATAATCTATTCCACATGTATGTTGGATCCTGGGGCAGAAGAGTCATATGCCATATCCTACCTTCAATTTCAGTTTTGAGTTCCAAAATGGTGTATTTTTAATAGTATGTGTTTTGGAAATTGAAAAGCCCAATCAATAGTTTGTGCTATTATATTGAACCCAATCAATGGTTCAATAGGTTGATTGTACTTTGTGACATTTGATAAGGTTTTAAACTTGCTCCAACTTGTTTCATGTCTATTCTAATGCATATATGGTAAAAGTATCCACAGTTATAATAACTGTGTGGATGATAAAACAGTATATGAGAGGGAAATGTGTTCAGTATTGGCAAGCCATTATTACTCCTGCATTGTTTTTACACTAATATATTTCTATCAATGCTTTCTCATATGTTACTGTCTTGTAAAATTTTTTATTATAAAACAAATTATCAAAGTCTAGTTGGCACCAAAATTATAGATTTTTACATAGTGGATTATATTTTATTCCCATGCTCAAAATGAACAGGGAAAATAATGATCACATGATTTTAAGGCAGCAGCCATATTTAGCTAAATGAAAGTCTCATTGCAAGAGGGCAAGAGAGAGAATTACAGAGAGAGGTAGAAAGAGAAAAAACAGGCACAGAGGGAAATAGAGAGACAAAGAGACAGAGACAGAAAAAGTGGTGAGAAAGAGGATGAGAAAGGGAGAGGAAGAGAGAATGATGTAGAAGAGATATGGACAGGGTGGGAGACAGAGATATGAAGAGATGAGTAAGTGTGGGAGAGGGACAGGATGGAAGAGTAGAGGGGGGGAGACAGGGAATGTGATGAGAAATAGAGAGGAAAGGGGGATTGAAAAGAGTGAGAAGATGAGTTGGAGCAATGAAGGGCAAGGGTCGAGGGAAAGAGAGCGGGAGATCCTAGCTGGATCAAGAAAAGAGAGGGAGAACAAGGAATAGAAGACCATGGTAAATGAAGACCAATGAGAAAAGAAGAAACAAAGAGCTAAAGAGGCCCACAAAAATCCACAAAGATACCCCCACAAAAGACTGCTGGCAATGGTCGAGAGACAGCTGGGACTGACCTACTCTGGTGATGAGATGGCCAAACACCCTATTAGTTGTGTCAGAAACCCCATCCAAGAAATGAGGAATCTGGATGCAGACATCCACGGCTAGGCCCCGGGGGGAGCGCCAGGAGTCTGATTAGTGAGAAAGAGGAGGGTTTATATGAGCGAGAATTGTTGAAACCAAGGTTGGATAAAGCACAGGGACAAATA